AAAAAAAAAAAAAAAAAAAATCTGGAGTAAGATCAAAACTTAGAAGACAAAGGAATACAAGTACAGATTCCCTCTTTCTTTGCTACTATTTATGACAACCCCGACCTGTTCCCAAAGTGGATGAACACCAGAGCAGTGGTTCTTGGAGCATGGTCCATCAACCTCTGGAAGTCCCTAGGACCCTTTCAGAGGGTCTGCGAGTTCAAAACTACTCTCATCACAATATTAGCATGTTATTTGCCCATTTTAATCTGATGCTATTTATATAATGAAGCAATAGCAGAGGCGGGTAAAACTCTTGGCTTCTTAGTATATATCAAGACAGTGACAACAATGTGTAGTAGCAGCCATTGTATTCTTCACCACCATGCATTGCCAGAAAAAAAAAAAAATCCAGTTGCACTTACCATCCTCAGTGCAGCAGTTAAAAGTCACTAACTTTATTAAATCGTGACCTTTGAGTCCACATCTTTTAAATATTCTGTGGAACAAAATGGAAGTGTGTATAAAGCACTTCCGGGTCACACTGAAACACAATGGTTGCCTCACTGAAAAGCACTTCTGTGAGCAGATGCAAGGTGAACTAGCCACGGTCTTCAAGGAGCAACACTATTTTACTTGAAAGAATGACAAATTCTAGTTATTTCTACATGTACACCTGACAAATTGTCTCAGAAATGAGTAAAGCTGTGCCTATCACTTCCAGAATTAGAGATTTCAAGTGAAAACTGGAATTTTGGAAAACATATCCTGCACCGTGAGCATCTTTGCAATACTTAAAGACTGATGATTAGCAGTAACACACTAACAGTAACAGATTTGGGGGGAGATACTGTTATCATAAAATGTACCAACGTTTGCAAACTCTGTGAACCAATGCTTTCCATAGTCCGTGCATGATGTAACCAATCATGCATGGGCAAAAGTTCCATTCAAGTGCAAAACCGACCAGTGGATTTTAATGTAACAGACTGGGCAAAAAAACCTGACAGATAACTGTTTCAGCTGCTTGTTGCAAACTGACCTTTAAGAAAGTACTGTTTGTTGACCTTTGTTGTAACACCAAAGCAGAACACCCTCAATCATCTAAAAGGCTATTAAGTATTCCTATTACACCCTGTACCTGCGGTTTTCTTTTCATATTTCAAATGAAACAACCTATCACAAGACTGAATGCAGAAGTATCAAGATTTGGAAATGGAAAACAATGTCACTCACTAGTTTTTTGTAAAATAGTTACGTGGGAGAGAATTTTTTTTTAACCTCAAAACTAACTGAAAACTGCATTCTTATTAAGCTCCAATTCTAACTGGAACACATTTTATGTAAACATCTTCATGCTGCTTAAATTCTAGATTTAAAAACGCAAAGGTACTTCAAAACGACTGCACTGTAGTTCCCGCCATTATTGGTACAGTCTACGGCGTCTTCAATTCATTGTGCTACCTGGTGACATCCACCGTCGTTGTAATCTGCGTTCCTGCAAATAACTGCTGAAAAACACAACAAGCAAAGGAAACGTGCCAAGTCTGTCACCTAGATTCTTCTGATGTACTATTCTGGTTAAGTGTTTTCTAGAAAGCTAACTGGGGACGTTTCCAAAAGTACATGAAACTTCCCCCTAACAGTACCAGAAAGCTTTTTTTTTTTTAATTCTATGACGATTAGGTTCTTCGTAAACAGCAAGTACCGCACTAAACCTATAACTGGGGAGAGTTCACCCGACGGTGCGAACACACAAGAGCCACAAACCCCAAAGGACTCTTTGTGGTCGCCCCAAGGAGCCCGACGTGGAGATGCGGGCGGCGGGCGAGTGAGTGCTGGGAAGCGTGCAGTCTGGCTCCAGGTCTCCGGAATTCAGCACTGCTGGAAGTTAGAGCGGTCACGGGAACCACCGGAGAAGCCCGAAGGCCTCTTCCCGCAGCCCCGCCCCTCGCCCCGTGTCACGTCGGCTCCCCAGCAGCCCAGCCTCACCTGGGACGTCGGAGCCTTCAGCTCGCTGAGCCGCCCCCGCGGCGCGCCGGGAACTTGCCCACACTCGGCCACGACCGCGAGGGCCCCGGGCCCGAGCACGCCAGTCCGTCACCTCCGCGCGGCCCCCGCCACTGGGCGGCCCTTCCTCTGTAGGGCCCGGGGCCGCCTGCTCCCCCGGAGCCTCGGGTTCAGCAGACCGCTCCTCGGCGTCATCGCTATCACTGGAGTGGGCTCGGCGCTGCCGGAAAGTCCTCTTCGGCCTGTGAGCCATAGCTGAGGCCCGGGCGCCAAGCGCGCGGTCTCTTCCGGTACCCGCCTGCGGGATCTCTGGCGTCCACGCTGGTGCGCGCTCCCGGTTATAAGGCCTGGCCGCCGCGTGCGCGCGCCCGTTTCGCGCGCCGTCCGCGCCGCCTTCGCCCTGCGCATGCGTGTTCTGCCTCTTTTGCTCTTTCTATCGAGTTCGGTTCCCAGGGCCGCCCTGGTTCCCTGGGCTGGCCTTGCAAAACGCTCTCTTTGCAAGGCTTGGCTGTGCTGTAGTGTTATGTGGTTGAAAGAGTCCCGTAGCCTCCTCGCGGTGAGCGCCACGATGGGCAGCACTCACAGGCTCTCCTTGTGCAAACCCTATCTAGGAATCAGGCACTATACCCACATCCTAGACTGGAACTGCATCTGCTCTTCTCTCTCCAACCAAGAATTAAACAAAACACCTGAAGTGTGTGGGGGTGGGGGTGGGGTGGGGAGGGTGGTGGGGAGATTGCTTCTGAAAGCTAAACAGTAAAATCTACACATAAATGATAGGTGCACGAATGAGCAAATATCAAACAAATGCTCTCAGGTGGCAAGGTTTCAACAGAACCTGGTTAAATGCCTTGGTCCTTAAGAAAAAAGAATATCTGAGAACAGAGAGTGATGTTGACAAAGATGCACAGCTGTAAGAAGGATGGCAAAAACCGTGGGAAACTTGGACTGTATTCATTAGCTCTTCAGAGAGAGAGGAAGCCTTTACCAGGGACTCTGCGTTGTTGGTCTCCTTGGTAAAGCCCATTCTTATTGGATGCCTCTGATCATGCCATCTGAAGCAAATAACCATTCAGTTCATTTAAATTCTCTTGCTGGGCTTTTCAGTCCATGCTTTAGAGTTCAGGAAGTCTTTCCAAGAGGCTCGTGGAAAAGATTGTTTTAAGAGATAAATTTCCAGGTGCTCACCTCCCTCCATACGTAGCTGCCTGAGAACCCCTACATTCATGCAGCTTCTGCCAATGTAGCCTTTCCTCCCCTTCTTATGAAGAGACACGATTCTTTGTCCATTCCAAATGTACTACAGTACATACCCCCACATGTAAAAGCCTTTGCAGCATGTAAAATTTTATTGTAGGACAAGAAAAAAAATACCTCTGAAGTCATCATAACAATTCTGGAAGCCAGAGGTTTCCAATGGCTTACTTTCAACAAAAATGGAGGACCAGTAGCGTCAGCATTGCTGAGTTGGTTAAGTAGCCTGAAGACTCTTGATTTTGGCTCAGGTCATGATCTCAGGGTTTGTGGAATCAATCCCTGTGTCAGCCTCTGCCTTGATAGCATGGAGCCCGTCTGGGATTCAGTCTCCCTCTCTCTGCCCCTTCCCTGCTTGAGTGCATGCACACGTACTCTGGCTCTCAAAAACAAAACAAAACAAAACAAACAAACAAACTTTTTAAAAAGTGGAGGGCCAACTTGAGCTGTCAACTACTCAAAATAATGTTTAATTATGAATCACTGATTTTTGCGTGGAGTTCAGACAGAGTTCTAAGAATAGATAGGCATTGAGAAAACGTACCCTTTCATATGTGGAGGGTTTTCTCAGTGCCTGTATAATATAAAATCAAAATATAATAATGTAACAATTAACCCTACACCATTGTAGCAATAAGTTACAGAAGTCTGTGGATGCATGCACTAATGTGTGTGGGCAGACCATCTTTGTCATTATGGGATGCATTCCCAACAAGAATGTTCTTTTGTCAAAAAAATGTAATGTGTTTTGATGTATTTATAGTGTTTTTCAAGCGTGTTGAAGTCCACTGGCCAAAAGCTACCAGGAGGACACTAAGTCAAATAAAGTTTATTTACCTTGTCTCAGAAAAAGAACATACAGACCAAAGAAACCATGCATTTCTTTGTAAGAGGGAGTAGAGTGTGGCTTATTAAAAGATTTAAGTTTGTGGTAGGAACTTCTTTTTTCAAGTTTTTAAATTCTAATTATTTAGCATACAATGTATTATTTGTTTTAGGTGTAGAATTTAGTGATTCATCACTTACACCCAGTGCTCATCAAAAGCACCATCTTTAATCCCCATCCCCCTATTTAACCCATTCCCCTACCCTCTCCCCTCTGGCAACCATCAATTTGTTCTCTATAGTGAAGAGGCTGTTTCCTGGGTTTCCTCCCTTTTTGCCCCCATGTTCCTTTATTTTGTTTCTTAAATTCCACTTATGAGTGAAATTATACATTTGTCTTTCTCTGTCTGAATTATTTCCCTTTCTGCTGGGAGTTTTTTTTTTTAATGTCTTATTTATTTTTGAGAGAGAGAGAGAGTGAGGGAGGAGCAGAGAGAGAGGGAGACACAGAATCTGAAGCAAGCTCCAGGCTCTGAGCTGTCAGCACAGAGCCTGACTTTCTGCTAGGAGATTTTTGAGAGCTCGGGGAAGCAGGGTCAGATTTTGATTGCATAATGTCAAAAAGCTGGGAGAGTTCAGCACCTGGGTGCTTTAGTAACTTTTTTCAAGAAATGGGAGGAACAGAACAAGAATCTGGGGTTGGAGTGTCATTAGCAAGAAAGCGGCAGTCACTCAGAAGAAAATTTGCAGTTACAGTATGGTCTTGACTTCCAGTTGAGTTGATTTTCACTTTCTTATTATTAAAATTAGAATGATGACTCAATCCAGGATAAAAAATTAGAGCTTTGCATTACAAAAAATTATATATATATATGTAAAATATACACACCACACAGATACATATATAAAATGTATACATACACACCACACACACTTTTATAGGGAAATATACATTGATAAATAAGAGACTTTCAAAGGGCACCTGGGTGGCTTGGTCAGTTAAACATCCAACTCTTGATTTCGGCCCAGGTCATGATCTCACGGTTCCTGAGACTGAGCACTGCATTGGGCTCTGCACTGATAGCACGAAGCCTGGTTGGGACTCCCTCTCTCCTCTCTCTGCTTCTCTCTCTCTCTCTCTCTCTCTCTCTCTCACATACACACACACATACATACATACACAAAATAAATAAAATTTAAAAAATATGGGGCACCTGGGGTGACTCAGTTGGTTAAACATCTGACATCGGCTCAGGTCATGATCTTGCAGTTGGTGAGTTTGAGCCCTGCATCCGGCTCTGTGCTACAGCTCTGAGCCTGGACCCTGCTTCAGATTTTGTTTCCCTCTCTCTCTGCCCCTGCCCCTTGCTCTCTATTACGCGTGGGCTTTCTCTCTAAGATGGATAAACATTAAAGAAAACAGTAAAAAATTAAAAATTAAAAAAATTAAGCATAAATGATATTTTATTAGATAAAATTTTGTAGGGCATAAGAATATGAATAGGAGGAGAAAAACAATGGTGTAAAGGGCTTGCATTTTTTATTTTATTTTATTTTTTTAACATTTATTTATTTTTGAGAGACAGAGAGAGATTGAGCACCAGTCGGGGAGGGGCATAAAGAGAGGGAGACAGAATCCTAAGCAGGCTCCAGGCTCTGAGCTGTCAGCACAGAGCCCCACTCGGGGCTCGAACTCATTAGCTGTGGGAATCATGACCTGGGCCGAAGTCAGATGCTTAACTGACTGAGCCATCCAGGCGCCCCTAGATTACATTAGGTACATTTAAATGAATGATAGAACGCATCCATTTAAAATAAAAGTGCCAAAATGTACAATACACCAGAAATTACATCCTTGGCAACTGTCAAAATTCGTGATGAGAACTTATAAATGTATACCTGAAAATGTGATGAGATAATGGATTTATTATTTATTTATTGACAGAGGGTGGGGAGGGACAGAGAGAAAGGGGGAGAGAGAGAGAGAGAGAAAGAGAGAGAGAGAGAGAGAGAGAGAGAGAGAGAGAGATTGAATCCCAAGCAGGCTCCGTGCTGTCATTGCAGAGTCCCAATGCAGGGCTTGGTCCCACAATGGTGAGATCATGGTCTGAGCTGAAATCAAGAGTCAGACGCTTAACTGACTGAGCCACCCAGGCGCCCCTGAGATAATGGAATTTTAAAACTTCTGAACGAGTATTAAAGGAAAAAAAAGTGTGGAGTTCACCATCACAGATGACTATAGCACCTCTAGCTTCTTTCTACTGACTATGGAAACCCCAGTTGCTCAAAAGACAGAAAGAACACTTCTTGCCTGGAAAGTGTCATAATAAGGATTGTATTTTTAAAATTGATTGGAGGGTAGAGCTATGGTTAAAATAGACATTGCAGTGCATTTTAAGGGTATATCCTATCAGTAAGCCAATTCTCTAGAAATCCACCCCCTTTCCCAAATCAGAATCTTTCACTAGGATATTAGCTTTGAGAATGAACCACAATTTATTGTCTCCACACAGTCTTGAGTTAACACTGCTGCTGGGAATGAAGAACTTGACAGCTGAGGCCAGGGTAGTGGCAACACATTTGACATGAGGAAGGTTGGTGGCTCTTTAGTTTCTCAGGTGAGAGTGTCAGAGGAGATGTAGTGGGTGACAGGGGAGAAACAGGTTGCTGAGCATACTAACTTTGGTGCAGCTGTGAGAAAGACCCCTTCCCCAAGTGTACCCAAGAAGTTGCAACTTTAAAGGGGAAGATGCCCCACGTGTTTATACATGGAGATAGGAAAGGAGTAGCCAGAGAGCAAGAACTGCTCTTTTTCATGAATGCTAGGAGTTTTAACGTTTATTTATTTTTTTGGGGACAGAGAGAGACAGAGCTTGAACGGGGGAGGGGCAGAGAGAGAGGGAGACACAGAATCGGAAACAGGCTCCAGGCTCTGAGCCATCAGCCCAGAGCCTGACGCGGGGCTCGAACTCACGGACCGCGAGATCGTGACCTGGCTGAAGTCGGACGCTTAACCGACTGCGCCACCCAGGTGCCCCTAGGAGTTTTTCTCCAAAGAGGGCAAGGATAATGCCGATCTCTTTTTCGCCCTACACTCTATTTACAATAATAGGTTGTTAAATTAATCCACTGATTATTAGGAGGCTTTGTATTATTTACCTGTTATATAATTAA